AGGTTCGTGAATGAACGTTTTAGTTGCTTGCTTGCTTGTGTACTTTATGTAAATGCTTTACATTGGACTAACATGATTGCATGTTTATAATTGACAGCCTGGTTGGAGACATTTGAGCTGAGTATATTGGAGCATATGTGACGTATGGGATAAATATTATTTTAGTGCACATGTGATAGATTTGTTTTGTTGCTTGTTAGTTTCACTCATTTTTAGTGAAGAATATTGCGATATGAATAAATAAGGTAGTTGATGTATCTTGTGTAAGTGCATTACTTTCGTATATGAACTGAACATACCGAAGAGCAAAATCATTGAACTAAGCTGGTACATATTCGTTTGACTGCTATCATTACAGATGAAGCCGCATTGACAGGTATATGCACCGGTTGAGCTGACTAGCGAGATTAGTGTGCGTTTCATATTGCATATTCTAAGGATGGATCTAGTTTCTGAAATTCGAGTCTTTATTCTTTTCCAATTAATGAATATTTGATATTATTATTATTATTATGGTATGTATTGTTGATAGGTATAGTTGATTCATACCTCCTTAATACTTAATTATTAATATCTTATTTGTGAATATAGTGAAATAAGTCAGTACTTAATACAACAAAACAATGCTTATTTTATTAAGTGAAGCAGGTGTTAGCAAATCCATAAACGTTATTTTTTTGATTTTTCATAGAACCTGGGTTTGTAAATTTCAACCATATGTTAATTTTATTAGAGATTTATTTGAATCGTTTATTGTTCAGTGTTTGAGATTGCTCAACTGTGGTTATTAATTAGCAGTGTAATTTTTGTTTCGTTTTTATGTAAACGTTTGGAGTTGTAGTGTTGATAGTACTCATTTTATTACATAATTAATTATTGATCGACACTATTTATAGATTTGTTTTTACTTGACGTCTTTCTGATAACTCGTCAAAGCGATAATGATATCGTTTGTTACTATCGTTTGATCATTCACATCATTATTAAGATTATGTGTGTTATGTGAATTGATCATCACAGTATCGCAAAGCGTCCTCAAAATATATTCTCGATTTCGTCTTCGTGTAAAACATCAGAACAGTTCAAATAAGGAATCGGAACAAGTTGAACAAAATGTGAGCCATGAAGACGATAATCAATGGAAGAATATCAGTTCGGGAAGTGATAATTTTACGGTTCAAAAAACAAAGCATCTGGTTGTAAAATCAGCAGCTTTGCACATTGATGAACAACAACTTGCACGAACAATTGAAGGAGATAAAGTAGAGGCGAGATTAAGTTCTGGAAGCAATTCAACGAAGAGAGACGACGACGACGAAGAAACGTTGTCAAGTGGTATTCCATCATCTGATGAGAGTCAGTCTCACCCAGTTACTCCTGTCAACACTACTATTCACGTTACTTACCAACAACGTGAAGATATAACCAGCAACGTAGCATATCATTGTCGCTGCTGTTGTGTTGTTTCTTCACCTAATCACGTCCAAATCTGTCGCTGTTCTAAACCATCTTTGTGTACACATTATCAGAAATGTGCAGTAATGTGTGATCAAAATGAACCCGATCAGTATAAAACATCAGAAGGCATCAGACTCTCTACAGATAACGGTTCGGCTTGTTGCAATGTGACAATGCAACGGATTCTTCTTGTGAACTTAAATGATATTCAATCAGTTGCTGATTCTGACTTTAATGACCTTTTAACGAGCATTACTACATCATTGACATCAAGTTCAGCGTCCACTTCGAGCAAATCAAAAAGTTCCATCTCTCCTCGAACAGTGGTCGCTTCAAATACAACAACCAATCCTATCCATACCACACGCATTGACACCCATACCACAGCCACCTCTAATGAGCGTGATTCTCAGCTAGATAATGTTATTTCGAATAGTTCCATCAATTGGGCTCCTTTCTGTGAGTCAAATAAATCTTATCTAAATCAGAACTACACTCACCAACATCTGCAACAACAACAATATCAGTCAAATCTTCGTCTTCCTTGTGCGCAATCTACTCCAGCCACATCGAAATTTGTTTCATTGGTTACAAATATGGATCAAAATTGGGATGATTTTTGTGGTTGTTCAACGGTTAATTGAATTTTTTTTTTCATTTATTCACTTACTTTTGTTTGAATTCGTAGTTTCAATTCGTTTTCTTATAACGAAACCTTCGGATAGATGTATCTGCTTATTGTGCTCTTAGTTCTAATTCATTCCCATTTCATCATTATGAGCTTAAATTTTTTTGGTCACACTTGACTAAGATTTTCTGAGCTGAGCTATCGTGAGGGTAAAGCATCCAACCGGTAATTGGTGCGATTCCTGCTCGTGGGATGTTTTGTTCGAAATCGAGTGATATACCATTGCTATCTATGTTGAAGTTTTTATTTGTCTTTTCCCTCATAAGATCCTGTTAAATTCACTCAAAGTGTATGGGTTTCAATTAGGTATTGCTGGAAAAGAAGAATCAGTGCTGCATTGGAACAAATAGTATTCAATGGTTGTTTGATTGATACCGGTGTTAGAGTGATTGGAAAGCGATGAGTGGTTCAGAAGATCGATTTGAATGGTTTGTGTGATGTGATAAATAGGTAACTTGATTGCATTTATGATGAGAGTCGGAAGATTGTGCGATGTTGCGATATAGGTTTCACATTGCAGTTGTTGCATTAAGAGTATCTATCTATAGATAGATTTAGAGTATCTACCTATAGATAGATACTTAAAATAGTATTTTGTTTTTTGCGTGATTGATCCAAAAAAATGGATTCATTTTACAAGGGGTTTTAAAGTTTGATATTGTAAGAATAAGGTTGTATTCATATTGCATACAGTTAGCGGCAATGAGAAAGTGATGCGTTGGATAATTATGTGGAGTGGATGGATATGACGTTGTCGCGTTATAAAATCTGCCACGCGTTAGTTGTACATGTTCATTAAACTAGAGAAAATAACACTACCTACAGTAATTAGCTATGCTTAAGTGCGATGTGAATGAGGTGAAGGAGGTGATGTGCTGTGTGAATGAAGTTAGAGTGCATGCATATAAGGAATGATGCAGAAAATGTTGTGTACCTAGACAGGTTAATAGACGTGATTGCTTAGTGTTTGTTAGATCGGTTGTGAAGGGTTATAGTGAACTACTACTATTATTATTATGTGGTTATTAATGTTGCTAGAGGTAGGTTGACCACAGAATCGATATGTATACGTAGAGATATTAAATATGAATATATGTATTAACAATGTATGATGTTACAGATACAAAGAATATTGTGTTATATGTATAATGTGCTGCTAGGCTTACAATTGAAGCTTTCAGTATAAGCATCGAATCAAGCATCGTTTCATTGAGCTCGTCTGGGTCTTACTCATTCTGTTCATATTATATTCCTTCTTATTGTTCTCATAGTTAATGCATGAACAGTGCAATTGCTGTGATCGTCACTGTTGCTGTATGAACCTTTTGTTATTGTTATTACTGACTATTATTACAGCAGCATAACTGTATCTGATCTGATCTGGTCTAAATATAATATGTGCATACAGTAACTGTTAGTAGAACAGAACAAATGGCACACTACTCATCATTAATATCAGACAATTCCTCCTCATCAGCTTCGTTATTCAAATCGACTGCAAATCATCATAAAATTTTGATGGTCCCCAATTCAAATGCTAGATTACAGGACAATGAAACTGCACTGCATTGTGCAGCTGCAAGAGGACATATCGAATGTGTTCAATCACTTTTGGATGCGGGTGCGTTTGTGGATGCTGTTGATCAGGTACGTACATCAGTTTTTCACAAGTATTTCCGCACTTATTCGTCTTCGGCGGAAGTATTTCTCCAGTTCTATTAGCTGCATTGATTGAACAGCACTGGTTCATCCAATATCAATTCGTATTGCTTTCGTGGAGAAGATAAGCCTTCTCTTACATTTGTTGCATCGTTTTGGCTATCCTTATGGTGGTAGTCTTTTTGCAGTTCTTCTTTGTTGACCATCCTTTCTCAAGTTGTTCTGAAATAAGATTCCTCATTGTCCACCAGTGACTGACTTTAATGGGCACTTTTACTTTCACATTTTCCGTGAATCAGTGAAGCGTTCAAGCAAGCGATCAACATATTCTTATAGAAATCGTAGCCTAATGAACACTCTATCTTATCCTAGTACAAGTCGACCACCCATGAAGATTGTCCGAAGAATTCATCAGCATTTTCGTTGCCACTCGTTCACTTTAATTAAAAACTCATCATTATCATTTCCGTCATGAATTTGATTAAATTTGTTTGGCTAATAAATAGTGCTCTTATCCCTTTACATCGGAGTAGATGCTGACTCAATTGATATTGTTTGATAACGCTGAAGGAAACCAATGATAATTGAATTGAATGTTAACCACATCAGTAAACATAGGTACATACGATATAATTGACTTGATCATGTTGACGAATATTAAGCAACGTCGCCGTCTGATTACAGTTTAGGAAATAATAATGTAAAAATGATGAAGAACACTTCAATCAAATGAAAATGTGATTTTTCAGAACGGTCAGTCTGCGCTGCATTTAGCTTTGCGACGATCGCATATCGATATTGCCTTATTGCTGATAACAAAAGGATGCAAACTCGACATTCAAGATGAGGTATGCTATTTACTCGTTGTATGTGTGAGGGCACATTTGTCCTTACCAAAGGTTTTCAAGTAAAGGAAAATTTCTCTTTGGCTGAGTTTAGGAGGAGAGGAATTGAAGATGTGGCAAATCACCATTGCAAACAGTTATGAACATCATATTTGTAGTAGATTGTTGGGTGGAGAAATGATGTCAGAAGGGACGCATAGGGTGCAAGGGCTTGAAAGTCACTAGCTTCTAAGATGAGATCAGATATGAACTGTTCCAATTTACACGCAAATTTTCTACAATAGGGAATAAGCAACCTCAGTTGCCTCATTAAGTTCCCAGTAATAAGACGGATGATGCCGCGGATGTCGTTTGTGTGCACTCGAACAACATCAAATATAGATATCTATGAAAATATATCTATCTATATATGTATACATCATTACTGCTATTCAGTAATTCGGCCCCCAAAGGTTAAAATAACCCAAAAGCACGAGGGAAACATTCATCAGTAGTATTCCGTTGCCACAGAAAATCAAATTGCCTTTCAAAAACAGCGAAGCTATCGAACAGAATAAATGCGATTCGTTCCGAAATTGGCCACTAGGCTCAAAAGATTCCGCTTTTTATTTCGTCATTTTTTGACTAAACAAATCTAGAAGTTTCACTCCGTACTCTTTTCTTTGAATGAATCTGTTTGATATTATTATAGTAACTGTACATGCCATATAAAATAAATTATTTTTTTAAGTAATACACATTAGCTTGACTAAGAACAGTAATATTACATTTCTGCACAAACCACTCCTCGTAAACTCTCTTCTTATTATTTGTAGGAATGTATCATTTCAAATGAATTTTGGATAGCATCATAATTGGGTTTGCGAGGAAGGAATAGATGAAATAAGTATGAGTCATAATTATCGATAGATTCATCTATTCATCCATTTATCTCTCCCAATTTATTTCTTCGAAATGTGTATCTCTAAGTAAATATTTCTTTCGTATGATGTTGATTAAGTATTATGATGATGTGTAAGTGTGTAGAGTGGTTGTGGTGTATGAAGAGTTTCAATGATTAATTGTTTTGAAAAGTCAACAAAAAATGGAATGAATTCTTTTCAGAGAGGAGAAACACCATTGCATATTGCGGCTCGATTGGATCTTCTATCTGCCGCACAAACACTTTGCCATCTTGGTGCACTAGTTGACGTTGTTAATTCGGTTTGTTTTTCGTGATATCATTAGTGTGTGATTTTAGTCATTTCAATCTTAATTTTTGTGTTTCTATTCGTATACGTCGGTCTATTGCTGTTATGCAACAATAATCGATTAGTTCTGAGGGTGATTCATCGAATTAAGTCGTATTTATATGTATGTCATTTCTTTTTTTATTCCACTTGTGATTCTTTGCTTTGATGACTTTGTTTCGAGGTGGAAATTTATCGTTCCCATGGAAAAATGTTTCAAAAAATGTGACTTACACAAAAAGGAATGAGTGAAGAGCAAAAAAATTTCTCTGTAATTATCTTATACGTCCAGTCACAGTAGCAGTGAATGTTATATATATATATATATATATATATATATATATATATGTAT